ACCCACACATGTTTCTTCGAGATGTCAATCAACCTATTCAGACTCAAAATCTATGCTCTGTCGTGGCATTGGGAGGAGATGATTGCTCTGTATCGGTTTGGCAGACGAAGAGCGCTCGACCGATGATCGTGGCACGGGACGCCTTCGCCAGAGGGATATTGGATCTCAGCTGGTACGTTCCACTTGCGCCTCTTTATGCAACTGTCTTCTTACATCCATTATCGTTCATAGGTCGTGGGATGGTCTCACCCTCTACGCCTGCTCATCCGACGGAACACTCGCTGCCTTCGCTTTCACTCCCGAAGAGATGGAAGGCATCCTCCCCGTATCCGCCCAAGAAAAGTACCTCCAAAAATTCGGCTTCAAAGATCCCCGAATCAGAGCTGTAAACGTTCCGCCTCCAGCTGATGTCGAGATGGCCCACGTACCGCAAGCGAGCACAGGTTTCGGGAGTCAGACGATCAAGCAGGAGGTCGTTACGACTCTCGTGGCGAGGAAAGGGAAGGCGAAGAAGAGAGTGACGTTAGATAATATCCCTTCGGCGGGCGTCACGACGAACGGATTTGGCCATCATGGGCTCAGTGCGCCCAATAGTGCCATTGGAATGGCACCTCCCCCTATATCACCTGCGATGATGGGTGGCATCAACATGGGTATCCCATCACAACTCCCTCCTGCACCTTCACCTTCCATGACATCCCACATTCCGCCCCATTCGAACAACGTTACACCAGCGTTCGGTTCAATGTCTTCTCAAGGTCTCCTTCATTCACAAAATGTCACTCCGTCACTCGGAGGACAACAACAACCATTCCCGTGGTCTTCCCAACATACCCCTCGTGGCGAAATCATCGATCTCACAGCTTACGGTGAACCTGCCGATCCGACCGTTGCTGGAGGCGGTACAGATGCGCCTATGGTTGATTCGCTGGATACACCGACAACGCCTGTAAGAGGGAAGAACAAAGGATCCGCAGGGGTCGATGCGAATGGCAAAGCTCCTAAGCCGCGAACGTTGGGCGGTGATAAGGTTCGAGAGGATCTGGGACCTGTGAGGGTATTGAGACCTGCTGGAGGTGTAGATGTTAATGAATGGCGGGCGGCTGCTCATGCCGCTGGTGGAGGGCACGAAGGAGTGAGATTGTTGGCTGCTCCTGATTTGAAGAGTCTTGTTGTTGCGAAGATTGAGGGGACGGATGAGGTTTTGGAAGGGTCGAATGATGATGCTACTAGTGAGTCTTTTCCGTCTTCGTCTTGTCCCTCAGCGCTGGGTGCTAATGCGATGTTGGGTTCTAGAACCGTCGGAGGTTACGTTGTCGTATGGGAAGCAAGTGCAGTGGCTGGATTACCTGCCAAGCAGGATCCTTCTGCTGACTCTCACGCCGTTCTTCTGCGCTGTTGCGTTGGAGGATTCCAGTATTACGGTCTATTCGCCGACAGGACGAAGGTACGTGATTGTTGATCGCCTTTAAGAAGAAGCGATTAATAACAGATTCTATTAGGATTATGCCAACCATGAGCCTCAGCTCGCAATGCGCTATCTTTGAAGGTTCGAAGAATCACCTTATGGCCATTACTGTCCAAGGGCAGATGCACATCTGGTACGGGAACCTCTTTTACGCATGGCTACCTTCCTCTGATTTTGACCTCAGGAACGTCCGCACTCAACGCACCCTCTTCCCACCCGTCTCAGTATCCTCCCTCCTCACTACGCCGAACTCATCAATCCTCTCCGCCACCCTCCGTCCAAACGGTTCACCTCTGATACACCTTTCATCGGGGACATCACATTCCTATGACGCAAATCTTCAATCTTTCATCCGCATCTCCGACTCATGGTGGGCCACGGGCTCCGATGCATGGACTACACGTCAACGAACTTCGACTACCGGCGTAGGACCTGTTCAACAGATGGAATCAGTCATCTCGGAATTGCGCATGAACGCAGCTGCTGCAGCTGCGGCGGCCAGCGCTGCGAGTGCCGCTCATTCTCGCGAAGGTTCCGCCGAAAGTAGTGCAGGTGCAGGCGGAGAAAGTAAAGGAGCATCTTCAACAGTCGGAACAGGAGGTCTCGTACTTATGGGAGGAGATGAAACTGAGAGACCTCCTTGGTGGAGTGCAGCGATGACGTTAGGTCATTTAGAGACGAGGATGCATGCTGCGAGAGTATTGGAGAGTCCGACAGAGTTCAAGCAGGCGTTATTGGTTTATTCGAAGAAGATCGCCGATGAAGCTTTCCGAGGAAAGGCGGAGGAGCTCATCAAGGAGCTCTGTGGACCTGTTTATTGGTACGTTTTGTCAATGTGTAATGCGTCGGGCTCGGGGTTTGACTGACTCACGTTGCGTATGCGTAGGCGGCCCGGACGAGAGGAAAGTTGGACGCCGACTGTTTGTGGGCTTGCGAAGAGGGATCTTCTGAAAGATATTCTGTCTATATTTGGTTCGTTCTTCGACACTACGATCTTTGATAGATTGCTCACCCTCGTTTCCTATTTTTGCAGCACGAAGTAAAACACTGACGAAGCTCGCTCAAGATTGGCAAGAAACGCTACGACGAGCAGCTGCCGAAGATCTGTGAATATACCTTCTATCGTTGTGCTTAATGTGTACCATCATCCTATTTCTTCAATCTGTGTAATAGCATCGATCCTCGGGCAAGCTTTCGGGCACGAGTTGAGGCCTAAGCTGTGCCTGAGGGCAGAGGGTTAGATTGAGCGCTCGGCTCCGGAGAAAAGGAAGACTCGGGCTAAATTGCCGGCGTCTCATGATAATCCCACGGGCAGCGATTGGTGGGCAGTGTGCCGGCATCCGGGATCTTCTCTTTCATCCGCCGACTCGGCTGAGCTGCGCGAAACGTAAATTCGATCGCACGTTCAAACAAAAACATGGCATGAGCCCGTCGGTAGGACGATTATCAATTCGCCAAGATATTGGGCCCGAGAGCGTACATGAGCCTAGCATGAGGCTGCAATTCAATTATTGAAACACGAAATTTTCTCGAAGGCGGAACCAAACAGGGAATACACGCTGTTCGTTCCCGCTGCGGAAGTATTTGACAGATCGGGCACATGTATGCTAAAACTCAACGGACAAAACTCTCACCACTCGCAGGCATCGGACTCGGAAATTTGCTCGGGCGCCTTCCATATATGGATTAGGATCGCTCAAGCGCCCGGGAAAACGGGCGGCACGGATGCCGAGGGTCGGTCTCGAGCGGTTTTGAGGCTCGATCTTCCTGAGTTTCCCGGCAGAATGTTCCTATTTCTGTCCCGTTCTATCCGCCGTGCACCTTCCTTTTGCCTTCCACATTCCGCCCCTGTCTTAGCTTTTCCCTACCGACCAGCATCTGCGTGTTGCCTCCTTGTCTTTGTCGACGAGCTTCAAGCCTGCTTGTCCTGAACATTCTCTTGTTTGTTTCTGGATCCACTTGAAACATGGCTGACATCGTTATTCGTGAGGTACGAGAATTTCGTTGGCGCCGTATGGACGACCTGCAGCTCAATCTTATGCTTTTGTCATTGAGGTTACGAGCAACATCTGGACATTCTCTAGGTAGAAATTCGATGAGTGCTCGAAGCTTATAACGCTTGTCCTCATTTCTGTCCGCTCAGACCATTCGCACGGTTTGGTTTGGTACCAATTGGCGGACGTTCGACTGCGATCAAGCTGAAAGGTGGTGAAGTCTGGGTCATCTGTTCCACCCCTTTGAGCGAAGAGACGAAGACGGCCGTCAATAATCTCGGCCCTGTCAAGTGAGCTATGTTTCATTCTGGTTCATATGTACTATACTGACCATCTCATGTCCAAAGATACTTAGTCGCTCCTAACATCGTTCACAACATCTTCCTCACCGAATGGAAAGGCCAGTATCCCGAAGCGAGCGTCATCGGCGTTGCCGGCCTTCCCAAGAAGAAACCCGGCCTCAAATTTGACGGCGGTATGCCTACTCGCCCTTCGTCAAATTAATAGCACTCTTACTCGATGTTTCAGTATACGGCGAATCTCCATCCGACACTCTATTCGGGTACGAATCCGAGATTAAAGCCTGCTACTTCCCCGGCCACGCGAACCACGACACCGCATTCTTCCACGTCGAATCACGTACCCTCCTCGAAGCTGATCTTCTGCTCAACCTTCCTGCGAAGGAACAATATTCGAAATCTAAAACATCAAGCAAAGTTCCTTTGTTCGGGACTCTCAATCCTTTCGATGGAATTCACAAACGGTTCGTCAATCAGCTCGGGAAAGATAAAAAGTACGTCTTCGTTCGTTTCGGGGTTGCAGCGTGTTGATTGAAATTTTGTGATCTAGCGCAATGAAGAGGGATTCAACGACCGTTGCTGGATGGGACTTCGATCGTATCATTCCATGTCACGGTGTACGTTCCTTTTCTCTCTTCCTCCGTTCCTGAATATCCCTTTTGGGAAATACTGAGAACACGTACATAGGATGTGATCGAGACGGACGGGAAGAAAGCCTGGGAAACGCTCTATGCGAATTTCCTGTAGATCCGACTTCAGGCAATATCGATGAGATCTTCTGTTCTGTTGTTCAATTAGGTCCCGTTTAGTCTCTTTCTTGGGTTTCTTGAGTTTCTAGGGTTCTTTGGATCTTTGGATTTACGAGGGTAATGGGTTTTCTTTCTTGGGTTTAGGGTTCTTTTGGTTTCACGGGTTCACGGGTTTGATGTGGACGATTTCGGCCTGCGTGTTCGCCTCGTTTGTCGCTGTGTGTGATTACTTTTCTTGGGTTTGAGACCACGGAGGGCGTGGTATAGACTTTTCATTTCACTGATCTTGGGCTTGATATAATGTGGTTATTACGAGATATACATGAGTGTTTGCTCGGTTGATTGAGGTTACAACAAAAATCAGACAAAACTTTTGCAATTAACGAGAAAAAGGCACGCTTACTCAATGTACAAGGAAGGAAACTCGCGGAGTGAGATAGCCAGGCACGATTCAAGCCGATAGAGTCAGGCCGCGAGGATGCAAAAGAAACGACGAAGACAGGATTCGAACCTGTGCCCTCAAAGAGGAATAGATTTCTAATCTATCTCATTAGACCACTCTGACACTTCGCCTATATCACCTGCTACCCACAAATACAATATGACCTGATGAGTTTCAGCGGAGATATCCCGATAGATCGCCGAGTGCGCTGGCAGACATCCTGAGGCTCCTGAGGCGGACCCACAATAAGAGCGGAAGTTACCGATGGCTTTTGTTGAACGTGATTGTTGGACAAAGCAATGGCTTGAAGGAGTATATAATGGTGCACATGGTCTGTGGAGTAGAGAGGGAGGTTGTTCTCGTACTACCATGAACTACCTCGCGAGTCGCAATCCTACCCCCTCTCCCTTCTCCCTCTCAGGGTGGTCTCTTTCCCCAAGCCTCACCGTCATCTCCCTGCTCATGCAGTATCAACGTCTTAGTCGTCTTGAACCTAGAGTGTCCATCTATTCACTTCATATATGCGCTTGAGGACCTTGGACTCACCATTATCGAATCTATGAGTACCTATCTAAACTATGTTGCCTCCGACTGCGTAAGTCTTCCTCCCGGTCATCGATTCAGAGTTCGCTAACATCTAATGAGCATAGACTTCCTTGGTCTCCTTCTCTGACGGGGGGTGGTCATTAACTCGTCTCCGAGGATCGTCGTCATCTTCGGGTCTTTGAACCGCTCGATCCCCCGATCTAGTCAGATAACGTAAGTAGTCTCCCATGATTGTTCGTCATCGACGCTCACTTTATCAAGTGCTCATCCTTCACTCACTATGAGTGTCCAGACGAGTTTCTATGCTTGCTGTCGAAGTGTAAGTAACACCCATCCATATGTCGTCACTATTTTACTGACAGTCAACAAAGCAAACGCCGATCAGAGACACTGGCGAGAGGTTTATTCACTCCATCTGTGACCCGACGGAACCTTGTTTTGTTCTCCCGGATGCGTTTACTGATAGTGAGTCTCTTTCTATACTGAGGGATTGTATGCCTCAGCTTACGATCCCACTCAAGTTTGTCGGTCTATTGTCTCTGGAAGCCGTCGCGGATGAAACGAATCAATTCTCTCTCGTCGATGTCGTGGTCTGGGTGCGAAGTATACGTTCCTCATGGTTCTAGACGGCAAGGTTAGTCTAGTCGTGTCTTTTCTTGACGAATGTCGCTGATGTCAGGTCCGCTATAGTATTACTTCTGATTGAAACAATATTGAACACAATCCGAAAGATCCCAGGTAAGCATATAAATATGATAAGGATACGAAACATTTATGACGCTTAGACTACAGGACTACTACAAGAAGACACGGATGGCTAGTCGAATCGCTCTCGCAAAATATACCGCTCACTCCACGGCAGTTCACATAAAATTTGGTACGGTCCACGACCCAAGATATATCTAACCCAGCGTTCGTGAGCGCGGACCCATGGTTGGGGAGGGATGAAGATGACGAGATCGATTTCTCGATCTGGGAAGGGCGACTCCATCCGGAAACACATCGACAGAAGACCGGGGGCGCAGATCATGAGGCTGTAGAGAAGATCCTGGAGAGGACCGGGGGTATAGCACGCTTCGCGATATATGGATTGACGGAGTATGGCGGGATTGGAAAGGACCTGGGTGATGCCGGCGGGATTTTGGGGGAAGATAATTTGCTTCGCGAAGCTCTTCATCTGCCCATCCGGTAAGATCTCCACCCAATGCGAACTCATCCGCCATCTGATCTTCTTCTGATACCACTCCGCGACTTCGCCGGTCTCGTTCATCCTGTAACCCTCCCGGAGAAAGACATGACGAAGAGCCTCCCAGCGTTCCAACGAGCAACTCATTCGCCAACCCATGAGCTCGACAGTGTTGTCGATTTCTAGTAGGTTTCCGAGTCGCTCGGCGTGGCCGTCTACTCCTCCGTAGACTTCGACCCTTGTGATCGGGTCTCTGGGATCGTCATCACCATTTCGAGATCTACCATGGAGTCAGTTAACGGCATTATAGAGAGATAGGGGATAACTGACTTCATGATGGGGTTGAGGACGACTTGAGGGAAAATGGCCATGGGTAAGGTAAGGCGGCGTATGGGGACGGGATTGGTGCGGGGATAGATGGAGGTCGGATGAGATGAGAGAATGATGGAAGTTGTCGTAAAGGTAGGCGAAGGGGAGAAGGTGTGATACGCTGATGGTAGGGACGCGAAGGGGGTGAAGGGAGAAGACGCTGAGAGGGAGGGAGAAGGAGGATGGATGGAGGGATGCTTGTCTGTTCGACTCTCGTTCGACGTTATATATCATTATTCGCCTTGTATCGACTTTGGAATAGTATCACGATCCGCTGGAAATCCGTGTGAGAGAGAATTTCGGTTCGGCTGTCCATCTTCGACTTCAGGGTTTCGCAGTTCTGGACTCTCAAAATGCCACACGTTCAGCAGAAGTCGACTGTGACGATCAGCGAAGAACAGTCCTCGATCTCCAGCGATGAAGCTAGATGATGAGACGACTGAAAGAAAGACTGAGCGCATTTCAAAGGCCGGAAAATGCGTAGCACTCGTAAAGAGAGAGCGAGAGGACGGCGGCTGGTCGTCCAAGTCGAGCTGAAGAACGACGCGTTGCAATACACGAGGCGTGATCGATCAAAGAGCTGTTCAGGACAAGCGATACCCGTGGAAACCTCCACTCAACAGATGACTCAGGCTCCGTCAACGCCTTCGTCGTCCGAGTTCCAGAATTCGAAGTTCTGCGAATCGGTCCCGTCGATGAGGCTAGGACTGTACGAAGAGGTGGCTCGTGAGGTTTGTTTGCAGAATGTCTTTGTTGGAGGTGGCACGGGGGACGGTCGCAGCTGCAAATTCGGAAATTGAGGTCCGCTCTTCCGACATCCCCAACGTCGACAACGCAGGGACGCGCCTTCTTCTTCTGCCTCATGGCTCGAAATGAGATCAGAGGTGCTGGCATCATGTTCGGCCGACGCCACGATGCTCTAGACTGCTGATCTACCAGAAGGAATATTCTTAACGGGGAATAAGGCAGCGCGGAACATATGCAATGTGTCGTGAACGTGCCTAGTATTATCATGTCAGTGTCTTGAGGAAGTTCTGGAGAACAAGAACTTACTGCGGTCATCGTTAGGATTGGAGAGAAAAAAATTGAAGCGTCTAGGCTGAGTTTCTGCTTCGAACGTCCAGGGTCGCCGAACGACGAGAGATTATCCTCAAAAGGAATCTCCTAGGAGATGATATTGTGCGCAGCCTTGTTCTCCTGCCTTACTGGAGTTCTACGCCATCGATTTTCTCGCTTCGAAAAACGGCGACGCTGACAGGGTCCATCTCGCTGGCGAACGAGCACGCTTTCTGACACGACTGCGACCCTGCATCATGATATACTGGTCCACGCGGTCACGTCGAACGTCTAGAGCAACGGACTGCTTGTCGTTATTTTTCTTTGATGCGTCGGATGCTGGAGGGAAGAATTCGCCAAGTCGAGGTCATCGGTACGGTGAGCTGATGTGACAGGATCATCCTTCACGCTTACAAGGCCCCGCTGCATGTCGCAGCGTGCTTTACGTAGGAAGGAAAGGCATGACCACGCGTGTCAGAGGACGAAATGGCGGATCATATTCCTGCAGGATAAGCGCCCACACGGTGAGCGATTTTGATCCAATAATGTTGGATTGGTGGACTGATTTTTCGGTGTAGAGAAAGATTCATTAGCTTCTTTCATGTTCCGCGTTTTATAGCACCACGAAATCGATACGAGGACATCCGCCAATTTTGGTAGATATCGGTTTCTGCGCGTCGCAAGATCAGCCTGAGAATGATCTATAAGACAGAAGACCCGAACTTACAAGGGCAACACCAGAGACCCATCCTCATCAACCGCATGTCACAAAGTCTCAGTATCCGTCTATACTGTGACGAGTCGGCGAGACCTGCTGTAGTCGGAGACCCGGGTCCGTGCGATGATCAGGCTGCGTCACAATTGTGCTCTCAGTTGCATGGATCAGCGTGGATGTATATCTCGTATCTCATCTAATAACATGGTTCAGCTGGACCGACTAACTTCGAATAAGTGATAGAACGAACCTCTTGGCCCGAAGCAAGTCGAGGTGTCCAGTGGAAGACGTTGCGATAAGGCTTGTAAATTCAAAGGCGACCAGGTGAGTTATTGCGCCCCATGCTATTATTTCTGATATTCATTTGATGACTGCATGATGGTTGAGCGATAGATTCACTAGATGGCAATGTGGTAGCACTGTAGCAGAAGAAAGCCCGTTATGAATTTGAAGCTCCGAGCACTGGTCCGTCTTCTCTACCTTTCCTACTTCCGCTCTCTAAATAATCTCGTCTTCATTAAGCTTCATTTCAGTTTCTAGATACCTCCACCTAACATCAACGCTGTCTCTCTGAGCCAGAGCATCCTCGTTTGTCGCAGAAATCACCTCAATCGTCTCCTTCTCCGACTGTGCGATAACGAAGGGATATTTCTGTATCATGGCCTCGAGTCAGTTCAAGCCATTCTGTGGAAAGGTAGACATGACTGATCAGTAGACTAGACTACAAGGTATGTGCCTAAAGTTCTCTCTCTCTTTACAGTCGATAATTGAGTCAGCATTGTTAGGCGGAAAGCAACAATTTTATCGATAAATCGAAAGGCAAAGCGCTCCGGGGTATGTCTTCATCATCTTCCATCGCTCTTGTGTATCATACCGCTGATTGATTCGTCAATTGTTCTGCAGGTATGACCGTGCGCTGCTTATCGCAAAGGCGAAAGTAAAGAAGCCGTAATCGAAGCTTGTCTGCTATCCGCTCAGGACGATTCGTCAACGCGTTGGATATCAATCATGGAAGGGTCGAGATGCAAGCAGCGCATAGAGGAAGCCTTTATACTTTCGCCGTTGGTGCGTTTTTGACTAGATTGCTTCCTGACTTATCGAGCTAAGGCATCTCTCAGATAACCGAATTTCTCCCATTCGGGAGATAAGCACTAATTTCAAGCTATGGTGTTTGTCCTGAACATAGCGTGGTGCCGCTGATCTCAGTCTCCTTCTACTTCTGCACTTCGACGACATCCAATCTAGGGCCACGCGTCACT